CCTGACTGGCTCATATGCTCTTGAAGTTCTATGTCCCAGGTTCTTTGTTTGAGTGCTGCTTTAACATCAACGTGTCCCATCGCCAAGAGAACGTTGGTGGAAAAACCCATTTGCCTTATTTCTTTTGTGAGTTGGAGTTTCCAGTCTGATTGAAAGGAGTAAAAAAGTGACATCTGTGCCAAGCCTTCTGAAGAGAAGATAAGCTTTAGCCAGTAATTAAACATTAGGACTTTGGCGTGTGCTCTTACGGCGATTAGGCCAGGCTCCAAACAAAGGGCTACATTAGGTAGCCCTTCATACAGGGGGGTTCAGTCAGAATAGATCTCAAAAAGTTGGTTTGAACTACCTCAAGAGGACGTTGGTCAGATAAGGCAAACAATTGGCACCCGTAGAGCATTTGAGCAAGAACTTTAGCCTTGAAAACCTGAAAGACTGAGGGGATACGATGACCCTTTGGTTGGTGTGAAAAAAATCTTGTCAATGCCACTGCACTTTATTGAACATTTAGTGCTGCATGCTTTATGTGGGGAGGCCAGAAACCTGAGGCATGAAAGATTATGCCCAAGTATTTGTAGCTGGAAACCTCCTCTATGAGATGACCATTGATAACCCAATTGTGCTTCACTCTACTTCTACTGACCACATGAACTTTGGTCTTCTGGTAATTAATTACTAACTGCTCTCGATTACAGTAGGAAGAAAGCAGTCTCGAGAGTCTTCTCAGTCCTACACATGTTAATAAGAGTAGAAACCCCATTAAAAACTGGGATTGGACTGGATAGAACTCCAGCTGGATTACAGAGGACTTTCAGGTGGCTATTTTCATACAGTCACCTCATTAGCAGAAGCAGCCATCTGTCTATGTTCATAGATTCAAATTTGGCCCAAGGTTTATTTCTTGGGATAAGATCGAAGGCGGACTTAAAATCAATAAAAGCTGCATATTAAAAACTGGGACTGGATAGAACTCCAACTGGATTACAGAGGACTTTCAGGTGGCTATTTTCATACAGTCACCTCATTAGCAGAAGCAGCCATCTGTCTATGTTCATAGATTCAAATTTGGCCCAAGGTTTATTTCTTGGGATAAGATCGAAGGCGGACTTAAAATCAATAAAAGCTGCATACAAGGTGCCTCCTTGGGGGAGGAGTGTTTATGAGCTAGACGTTGTAGGATAAAGCCCTGATCCAAGGTGAACTTTCCTGACCTAAAGCAGAATGATTTTTATTTTTCCAATCTTATAATTCACCTAAGCAGGATGTTTTAGGTGAATTATAATATTGGAAAGATAAAAATCTTTTCTCTTCCAATATTTTTGGCTTTTGTTTTGTTTTTCTCCTTTTATCTCAGCCCAATGACATTGAAAATATTATTTTTGGATTACAGTGATACAAATGTTTCTAATAATATTTACACCATTAACACATATGGGCTGCAATCCTATACAGTGGTGCCTCGCTTAACGAGCGCACCGTATAACGACGAAATCGCATAGCGATCCGCTTTTTTGGATCGATAATGCGATTGCTTACCGATGGCCCCTATGGCCGAAAATCGCTTTGCGAAGATCGGTAAGCGTTTCGCTTACCGATCTTCGCAAAACGAAGCTGCGGATCAGCTGTTCGGCGGTTTCAAAATGGCCGCCGGAAGCCCCAAATGGCCGCACGCAGCATTTTCGCGCCCTGCCCTTGCTTACCGAGAGGCGAAAATGGCTGCCGGACCGGGATGCATCGCTGAACAGTGAGTTTTTGCCCATTTGGAATGCATTAAACGATGTTTAATGCATTCAAGTGGGCTTTCCCGTCCCGCTCAGCGATGTTTCGCCATAGCGAAGGTTAATCCGGAACGGATTAACCTCGCTATGCGAGGCACCACTGTATACACATGTACTGGTATTAAAAGTGAGTAATATACTGTATTTGTGAAACTCTTCTGTCAATTTAACTTTCCTGACCTAAAGCAGAATGATTTTTATTTTTCCAATCTTATAATTCACCTAAGCAGGATGTTTTAGGTGAATTATAATATTGGAAAGATGAAAATCTTTTCTCTTCCAATATTTTTGGCTTTTATTTTGTTTTTCTCCTTTTATCTCAGCCCAATGACATTGAAAATATTATTTTTGGATTACAGTGATACAAATGTTTCTAATAATATTTATACCATTAATACATATGGGCTGCAATCCTATATACACATATACTGGTATTAAAAGTGAGTAATATACTGTATTTGTGAAACTCTTCTGTTAATTTAGCACTATCACTATTCATGAGAATTTTTTAATGTTTTAAATATCTGAAAACATTATGTAGTTAAAATACATGTGAATCTACATTTTTTTCAGGAACTTGAGGATCAATTAAAAGTAAAGGAGAAGGAAGTTGAAAAAGTAGAACAGATAGGACTTTCCTTAATACAGAATAAAAAGGAAGAAGTCTGTGTTGCTGTCATGGATACACTTCAAAAACTTAACCATTCTTGGGCAAATTTGGATCACAGGGTAAGCAAGTATGAATACATAAATAAAGATGTGAATGTTACAGTATTGAATTTTATGTCCGATGCAGTCTGTGTTTTTTCCTCCCAAGACTCTGGTACGTTGCTTTATCACAGTGCATTCAAGATTCTTTTTAACACCACATTTCCTGAAATATCAACAAATATGTTTTCTTATTCAAGGAAATGATTAATTAATCATTTTGCAACATAGCAGAATACATGGGCTATATATTTCATACATGCCACTTGTTAAAAGAACTCCATGCTTAAATACTGATTATCCTTTGTAAAACTTGCAATTTCCTGGTACCAACAAAAAACTGATGTAAAACAAAAATAAGTTTTTTTAAAAAAAATCACTATATTATTCTGCACATTGTTATTTAAATAAGCATTTTATTGTTAAGTTTTAGACTTTAAGTTTAAATATAGTGATATGTGAAATAGTTACCTTCTCCTTAAAATTATTTAAACAGGCAGCAATTGTATTTGTAACTTTAATATTAATTGCATACTATTTCTTGTTTTTCATTTGGTTTTGTTTCATTTCGGTCAGGTTGGCCAGCTGAAAATATTATTGCAGTCTGTCTTTGATCAGTGGAGCATTTACAAAGCAGCTTATGAAGAACTGAATAGCTACCTGATGGAAGCCAGATATTCTCTGTCTCGCTTTCATCTCCTTACAGGTTCTTTGGAAGCAGTGAAAGTCCAAGTAGATAATTTGCAGGTAAGAAAGGGCACAAAATCATATCAATTTATCATGCCTAGTAAACGTCTAGAAGTTTGGCCAACTTGGTAAGGAAACTATGGTGCTTAAAATAAGTTTTAAATTGTGTCCAAACTATCTTTTACCATTCTTCATTTAGAAAGCAAGGTTAGGAAATACATCTATGGGGCCACCAAAATGCTTCTTAAAATCCAAATAACAAAAGAAGCCCTTGTGTCCTTCAGAACTCTTCAGAAGGCCAGACAATGCAGACCTTGTGAAACAGAAACGAAGGAGAAAAGTTCCAAGATTCATCCTAGGCAGACGTTATAGCTGTGGGAGCTGTAATCAAACTTCAAAATGGAGACTGTAGACTCAGAGAACTTGCTAGATGTGTTGTGGTATCTGTTATACTTCTGGGAATGTAGAACCAGCTGCCTATAATCATTTCTGTAGAGAAGTGGCAGGCATTACCAATACCCAGCCTGATTAATGTTTCTAATACTTTTTTTAAAAAAAGTTTAGTATCCTAATAAAGATATTGAGCCAGTGTCGTGTAGGCAACAGAGTGATGGGCTAAGGCTCGGGAGACGAGTTTGGATCCCTTCTTAAACATCTCACATTCTAACTTGAAACCTCTGTAAGAGTTGCTAGGGATGGTACTTTCAGGGGAAAAAAGGGAGTCCCAGTCCATAATTGATTGACAACAATCTTTGTGGAGACAACCTCCATAGAGACTAATTTCCCCATGGTCCCTTGTGAATCACAGGGAATTCTTTTGGTTTGCAAAGGAGTAGTGGTGCGTATTTCAGATGGGAAGAAGCAGCTCAGGAACGGTGGGGAAGGTCATAGGGCTCCTATACCTCATTTGCAAAGGAGCAGTGGTGCATATTTCAGAAGATGGGAAGAAGCAGCTCAGGAACGGTGGGGAAGGTCATAGGGCTCCTATACCTCCTGCTGCTTGACAGCTCCCAGTTCCATGATTCAGCCTGGGGGATTCCTGCCAAATTATGGTACTGAGAAATCTTTTTCCTTCAAAGTCCTATCCCTAAGTGTCTCTATAAGGTGGATGTGACTGGGCAGCACAGAACAACAACAGAGGTATTAGCCACCTCTTCTTTTTTATTATTTTTGGTTATGGATCACATAGCTACGTTTTGTTTTTATTCTTCATTCATTGGTGCTTCAGGATTTCTCTACTTCATCACTAATATTATTTTAGTGCGTCTTTATGGACTGACGAGCTTGGCCTTCAAGATAAGCTTTAAAGTGAGTCTTTGCCCTGTAGGATTTCAATAAATTACCCCTTTCTGCTTTTATTTTTTTTTCTGTATGTTCAGAACTTGCAGGATGAACTGGAAAAACAAGACCATAGCCTACAGAAATTTGGATCCGTGACTAACCAGTTATTGAAAGTGTGTCACCCACCTGTCGTGGAAGGACTTAACAGTACTTTAAAAGAAATGAACCTGAGGTATGACAGTACTCCCTGGTGTATTTTTAAGTAAAATCTATAATGAAAATAACTTTATTCTTGAATAAATATAATGTCAAGCTGTTCTGGTAACTGTGAAATCAGCAAGAAAAAATTTTTTATTTATTGTGTTGGTCATAAAAAATCAACAGTTTCAAATGCTGGGCAAGAAATAGATACCCAAAGAAACAGACACCTATGTTCAGCTATGTTGTAAACCAAGTGAGTTAGGTTTCTGGATGTGGAGCCAACGTTTAGGAGTTCAATTCCCCAGAAAGAGCCAGCTTGTGTGACCTACGTTTAGGAGTTGAGTTCCCCAGAAAGAGCCAGCTTGTGTGACCTCGGGCAAGCTGCATGGGCCTCAGGGTGCCCCCCAGAAAAAGGGATGGGTAAACCACTTCTGAGTATTCTATACCCTGAAAAAAACCTGAAAAAAGAGTCAGAATTGACTTGAAGGCACACAATTATTATATTTTAAAACCATTCCTTGAATACATGTAACTAAGCATGCCAGGAAGAGGGCCAGTTGAAGCTTTCCTTTCGTGTAGTGCTAGTTTATTATATGCAGGGAGAGTAGTTACTGTTTTATTACCACTTTGTTTTGCTTTATTTTACATGGAAGATATGTTCAGAAACATGGACCTTCCATTTGTGATTTGAAGTAGTATAGTATAGAATTCAGATGCTTTTCTTTACATTTTATGTAATGTTTAGGTTCTTATTCCAATATCTTTGTTAAAGGTGACAAAACTATTTAAAATATCTTAAATGTCTCATCACGTCTGTTTCCATCACATGAAGAATGGTTTCAGAGAACAATCTGATGGTGAGCATAGTTCAGTTTCTTCTCCTGCTGCCCTCCCTGCAAAAATAACACATATTGTGAGAAATAATGATATGGTCTTTTTAAAATCCCGCTCAAAAGTCCTTCAGCTTTCTCTTTTCTAGGTTGTTAACCCTTTCCTTATAATTGCTAGGTGGAACAACCTTCTAGAAGAGATTGCAGAGCATTTACACTCTAGCAAAGGTCTTCTCCAACTCTGGCAGAAGTACAAAAGCTATTACACCCAGTGTTGTTCCACAGTTCAGCAGTATGAGGATCGAACAAATGAATTTTTGAAGGCTGCAACTAACAAGGACATTACTGATGATGAGGTCACTGCTTGGATTCATGATTGCAATGTGAGTACAGTAAACTGAAGACTCTGTTATTGTTGTACAGTATGAAACTCCATGTCATTGTTGTATAGCAAGGTTTCCAATGCTAAACAAGTAAAGATTATTGAAGCTAATGAAAGGCTTGCCTAGTTTGGAAAACAAGGGAGAGGTTAAAGTATTTACTGTATCAACCACCTGACCTTAACCCATCTCACTCTTTAGCCCATGATTAAACACTAAGGTCATTACCACTCAAAGACCAAGGACACCTTCTTTCTTAAACTTGCCCTCTTTCCTTTTATCAAATTTGACTGCAAGGTTATCTAGAAGAAATAAAGAGTATTTCTTTCCATCCTAAAAACATATTTGAATGAGAGTCAATGTGAGTGCCCTCTTTCCTTTTATCAAATTTGACCGCAAGGTTATCTAGAAGAAATAAAGAGCATTTCTTTCCATCCTAAAAAACATATTTGAATGAGAGTCAATGTGACAAAATAGTTTATATTGCCCCTTTTCTTCTTTCAAGCCCCATGGGGCTTGGGAGGGGAACGTTTTGCTCCATGTCAAAAACTCTGAGATCATGACATGCCATGATCCTGACACCCAGTGACAAAGTAAGCAAGTGTTGCCTCTATTGCTGCATTGCTCCCATAGATGCCATTTCATTATTCCCTGGCAGCTCTTCACTTATATGAAAGAAGTCAGCAGAGTTACAGACTGATATATGTAGTCACAGCCATGTTAGTCTTAAAGGTGCAATAAGAATTTGATTTGTGTGTATGTGTGTGGTGGTTTTGTTTGTGTTACACAAACTGTACATACTATTTCCTCTCAACACCTTTGACAACTACATGTATGCATGCATGAAAGACATGCATGACTGTACACACATTCTGTCCAGAGTCATGTACAGAATGGCTGGTGCACACTCTGGACCCTTTCTAGTGCACTTCTAGTATTTATTTACTAGCATCCATATGAATCCCTCTCAGCAATTGATAGCTTTATACACTACAGAAATCAGCCATCAAAAATTGTGTGTGTGCCAGCCGATCACTATGACAGAGCTGAATGCTTGTTACCAATGCTTGTTACTGTTTTAATGACCACAACTTCTGCAGGATCTTCTCAAAGGAATGAAGACTGTTCAAGACTCTCTATTTGTTCTGCATGAACTGGGAGAACAGCTGAAACAACAGGTGGATACTTCTGCAGCTGCAGCTATCCAGTCTGGTCAGCTGTCTCTTAACCAGACCTTATCTTCTTTAGAACAGGCTCTCAGCAGGCAGCAGTCTGTATTACAGGTATGAAGCCTTACATATCTTTTGGCGTCACACAGTTATCACACAGTTTTTTCTAGGGACATAAATGATAGACTGTTGTGCTATCATTCTACCATATTTCGGACATGATAACTGAATCCATAATTTGTGCAAAGGATATTATGTCTCCCAAAACCAGTACTTTTACCATATAATTGTAGTACAGTTTGATAATTGCCCTGCTGAATGACATATGAATGGTTCCTTGCCAGCTTCATCTGTAATGAATGTCACCTAAGCAATTATATTTGGCCTTCCCTCAGCATTTTACTCTTTTTCAATATAATTACAAAATTGTAGATGAGTTGTCAGAGCCTCAGTGGGAAGTCATAACTTCTTTACCTGGCCACTTGCAAAGATTATTCCTTCATGCCAGAGCTGAAACTATGACCCTTCAGACACTTTTAGACTAACTTTCCTACCATCCTTAGCTATTAGCTATGTTGGCTAAGACTAATGGCACCTATAGGTAAAAAAAAATAAAAATAAAAATATGGAGGTTCAGAGTTGTCCATGCCAAGCTTTCTACAACTGCTAGACCATAGCCTCCAACAGCAAATTATTTAAGTTTGATTATCTTTGGTTAAATATATAACTAAAAAATAAACACAATATTCAAATTATGTTTCCTCTGTGACAACTACTTGCAAGGGAAAGAGGTGAAACAAAGAGCTTCCTCTTGACGTGGTGCAAACCATGTGCAAAGCATTACTTACCCACTGGCTGTTTGGGCAGGATGGGAGAAAGGAACAGACAGCTGTGAGGCAGGCTTTGTGTCTGTCTGGTCTGACTGCAAAATGGAGAGTCAAAGATATGCCATCAGAGCAGCAGCGCCCTCCCCCCGCCTCCTTGCTTCTGGCCTAGTCAAAAAGAGATGATGAAATTGGTTAGAACCAGTTCCTCAGGAGAGACCACAAACCTCAAACCATTCAATATGCATAACAAGAAAGACTAAGTTACAAGAAAGAGGGCTTGCTTTCTAGTTGAGATTTTCACTGAAACAGCCTGCCTCCTTGTTGTTTAGTCATGTCTGACTCTTCTTTGTGACCCCAGCCTGCCTCCTAATGGTTAGTAAAGGAAGGCACCCATAAGTCCAATTCAAGCATCACCATATTCCAGCAACACACAGGAGAGTCTGCTAACTCCAACCTCTCCACAATCTCTGTCAAAAGGGGATAAGTACCTCCACCTGTGAAGACATTTCACATGAGCAAGAACCCTAATTTTCCAAAATTACTCCTCATTTGGAAAGCCTCAATTCAAACAGGAATCTCTTTTTCAAACATACCACTTAGTACATGAAGAAAGCTGTGATGGAATGGGATTGGTGCATCGCCCTTCTTACGCATCGGCTTTGTGTAAAGAATAATGTCAGGATAGGACTCTAATTTCTGGGCCACAGCTTGGTGAAGACAAAGGAGGCAGAGTTAGGAAAAGCTGCCTTTTCTGAGTACAGGTCCTGGAATCATGTTGACTATCAGCTTCTGGGAGTTGTCCAAAAAGATGTCTTTCCCAATGCGTAGCAGAAGGAAGCAAATTCACCTGCTTGTTTCTTCATGACCTTAAAACACTGATTCACGTTGTGTGGGAAAAAAACCCCATACCTAATTGGGGGGGGGGGGAAGCAGTACTGAAAAGGAACAAACAGTGACACAGCCAAATGTTTGGGGCACTGCTAGACAGGTATTCATTGTGTAAAAAGAACTAAAAAGGTTTAAAAGAAGAAGAAGAACCATACATTTTATTATTGACTAACCACTTGCTTTTTAAAAAAAAATTCAAAGGCTGGAGTTCAAGATTACCAGATATTTACTAAGAGCCTAGCAGGGCTGGAGGACTGGATAACTGAATCTGAAGAAGTACTCAAAGCACAAGACCCAAGTCATTCATCTGACCTCTCCATAATCCGGAATAGAATGGAAGAACTTAAAGTGAGTTTGATAGAAACAAAACAAAATGTTATAAAATTTTTATAGCTCATTCTAAAGTACATTTAAATAGGAATAAACTCTTTAGCTAAGACTTTAGAGAGAGCATTTTGCTGGCCTCTCAGATTGAAATCTGTCTCCCCACCTCACCTCACAAGAAACTTCAGGTCTCTCTGTGGGTGAAACTGTTAACCTCTGCAACCCTTATTGAAATGTTTCTCTAGTTTGATTCAGTTAGACTGATAATCTTAGCTAATACCAACTGTTACTCATACAATATATTCCTTTGTATTGGCAGAAGAAGCACTAAGATGAAGGGTTGTTCAGCAAAGGTCACATGAAATAAAAATGTTCATTTCTGTCAGGCATGGCAGCCCCAGATCAGGATGTTTTATTTATCTGAGGAAGAATATACTCTTATATTTCTTTCTCTGAGGAGGACAAGGATGGTATTCAGACCAACCCACTCTAGCCTCTACACATTGTTCTTTTTGTAGCAGGTTGTATTTAGCTGCTGTCTGGTTAGTTGCTCTGGGGGTGGACGTAGACTGCTGTTATTAGGAGGAGTGTCTAGCTAGTCAGCAATATGCATTTGCAGAATGCGATTGACAGGTCCCCCACTTTCACTGTTGCCTTATGATTACTGTGGACAGAGGTAGGAATAGACATCTCATAGCATACCAGACAATTCCTGCTAGTGAACTATTTCTTCAATTTTCAGTCTGCTAACTATATTTCTAGGATCATAGGGTTGCTGCTGTCTTGTACCAGGTTCTCTTCTACTTTTATATCCCTCTTTTCCCTTTCCTCTCTTGTAAACAGACCTAAGAATATCATAATTCCACATGTTTTTTTGCATTCATATTGTCCTCTTTCCTGTGGTTCTAGTTACATTTGCCTTTTCTGCTGTCAAAACTGAGTAAGCTGTAGTTCTATGCACCTTTTGGAAAGTCTTGAACTAGGGGGAAAGAGCTGTATCTTTGTTTTGATTTATTTTCAGAATGCAAGCAAATCTTTAAATTGAATGACCCAAACTGTGAAAATGCGCAAAAATACAAAACAAACCTCAAACAAATATGTATTCACATGTGTAATTATATTAATTAGGATTATTTGCCATTATTTGGCAACATGTCTTCGTTCCTCTGATAATGTCCTTGTTCCCTGCCACTTTGTAGCGCCAGATGTTGAAATTCAGCAGCATGGCACCAGATTTGGATCGCCTGAATGAGCTGGGATATAGACTACCTCTGAATGACAAAGAGATCAAAAGGATGCAAAATCTCAATAGGTGTTGGTCCATTATCTCTTCACAAACCACAGAAAGATTCAGGTAGGACATTCAGAATTGTAGTGATGAGAACAAAACTTTAACTGAGCACGATTACATGTATTTGCTCTTTCCATTCTTTGCATTCAAATTAAGTTTTGACTTCCATAAGGCTGGGAGAAGGTCGTACATATAGCACATTTCAGAAGAGGTGCTCCCTCAGGAGTTGAAAGCACATGATTTTCCTTACCTATATGCCTAGTACTGTTTTGTGATTGGCCACTGGAGCATGAACTCCCATTGTTGAGACAGGTATCTATGAAGAAATATCATTGTGGAAGGGAAAATAAATGAATTCATTGCAGGGAATACACATTCATCTTAATACCGTATTTTACCAAGAGAGGCCCAAGGGTGTTGACTTCAGTCATGGGCCTGCAGACAGGATCTGTTATATATTTAGAACTCTACAAGTTAATATAAACCATAATGTGTTTGCTGCCCTCTTCTCAGTGTTGTTGTTTAGCCGTTTAGTCGTGTCCGACTCTTCGTGACCCCATGGACCTAATCATGCCAGACCCTCCTGTCTTCTCTTCTGGGTAGAAGACAGTACCCTCTCTTCTGGGTAGCTCGCTGCTTTGTTCCGGTTGCCCATTATCTTCTCAGCAAATGCAGAGACCAAACTTTCCTGCAAGAGGAGAAACGTGGCGTCATCCACAGCCCTAAAAGATGGGGAGATGTTGAGATGGAATGCAGTACAGAGTATCAGAGGAGGGGGGGAGAGAGAGAAACAGATGGTAGAGAGAGGGGGTAGCAAAGAAAGAAAGAGAGAAAGGGGTGGCCATACTCACCACAGTACTCCAGTTCAACCCATAGAGACAACTGTGCTTCAGATCCACTTGTATCCCCCCAATAGAATGGCCCCAAAGAAATGCAATCATCAACAGGAAAAAGGTCCTCCCCCTTGTAGCTGTGGGAAACATGAGATGAAAAGTTCTATAGGCTGCAACTGGATTTCTGGATTGAAATGCACCATTTGATTAATTCGTCGTTAATCTTTGTAATTACTCTAGAGAATTGTTCTACTATAGTGGCAATGAGCTAATCCTTCAATATCTTGAAAGAGACCAATTTGCAAGACTGGTTAATTGAAAATAAAAGTAGCTTTAGGAGGACTTTTTGTTTATGAACTGAAGGTACATTTTAAAGAATAAAAGCAGATTTTTGCCAGGGCTAAAACTAAAGAAATAAGCCAGCTGAAACATTTATACACAATTTGTTTGTTGTTTTCAACTTTTTTAAAAAAATCTTTGTATAAAAAGTATTTCCAAGAAGAAAAAGTCAATAATATCATTTCAGCCAGAATTGAAATGGCTCCCTTAGGAATTTTAGTAAATTTATTTTAGCAAGCTCAGAGGTGTTACTGAATCACTCTTTCATCCTTGCAGTAAGCTACAGTCGTTCATGTTGCAGCAACAGACCTTTCTAGAAAAATGTGAGACTTGGATGGAGTTCTTAGTACAAACTGAGCAGAAACTGGCTGCAGAGATTTCAGGAAACTACCAGCTTCTTTTGGAACAGCAGAGGGCACATGAGGCAAGTTGGTTATCAAAATAACAGTGTTTGCATTAATCAGTTGTTTTCTGTCTTGCTGTCATAAAGTCATAAGACTTTATGCTGATGTTCATTTTTGTTGTCTTTTATATTCCATCTTCAGTCATTCATGGAAGCAGTGTCTTATTTGAGTTAGAATTGTACTCATGTTAGCCATGTCTGCACAGCAAAAGGTACTGTATATCAGTGATTATACAGATTGCTGTATCTCAGATCCACAAGCATCTAACTCAAACACAACACTGTTCAAAGAGCAGGCTGCATGCACATAAAGCGTATAGCAACATTAATGTAATGGCAAATTCAGAAATACAGACACACATCCTGTGGCCACACTCCTTCAAATTCATATCTCCTTGTATGATTTACAGCCTTCTAAGGTTATAAGATAAAAATGAGTTTTGTGCTGTTTAGAGTTCTGTTGAGTGATGAATGCAATAGGAGGGTTGGATTTTTTTTTCCCATGAAATTCATTCAAAAGAAACAATGGTAGTTTGCAGAAGTTGATCAACTTCAATGTCAGAAACACATCTTATCATATTTTTCCAAGACCAGCAGTCTGTATTGTTGATCGCTGCTCCCCTCCCACTCAACATTCTATGGCCTCTGCCACCACTGACTTTAGAGGGTTTTTTTCCCAAGAGTCCAGAGTCCATAGTTCTGTAATTCTAGTTTCCAAAAATATTCATGGAAGTAGGCATGATCGTCTGTTGCAGCAAAACCAGCAGAGTCTTGTCCAGAAAAAACACAGATACACACACCTTAAATAATGACGAGTCTTGTGGCATTTTTAAAAAAGGACCACAAGATTTTTCATTGGTTTTGCCACTACAGATTCACCCAGATACTTGAAGGCTTAAAATGTTGATCCTGGACACAAAGTATGACCCTTGTTTCAACATTTCTTTGTAGGTAGGATGCTTCTAACAGATTTTTAAAATGCTAACATATATGATGTGAGCATTTAAATTACCCCAAGCATTTCTAAAAAGTGGTAGATATTCTTAAAATATCAGCTGAGTCTGTCAGATTTATAATTTGGAATTGTACTTTCTACAGTCATAGCCAAAAATATTGGCACCCTTGCAATTCTGTCAGAAAATGCAACCCTTCTCTTTAGACCCTGTCTAAATTGTAATAAATAATTGCTTTTCAAGCATGTGATGCTCCTTTAATTTGTATTTAGACACACCTGTCACAAGTAAAAGGTGTGGGCAATATATTAGTCACACTCGCAACCAGATAAGATGGAGAAAAGCTGACTCAACCTTTGTGTTGTGTGTGACACTGAGCATGGAGAAAAGAATAACGTATAAAGAGTTGTCTGTGAATTTGAAAGAAAAAAAATGTGGAAAAACATCAACAATCTCAAGGCTACAAGTCCATCTCCAGAGATCTTAATGTTCCTGTGTCCACAAGAGGCTTACCGCCCATGGCACTGTAGCTAACCTCCCTGGATGTGGATGGAAGAGCAAAATTACTGAAAAATTACAATGAAGGGTTGTTCAAACGGTGGATATAGAACCCAGATTAACTTCCCAACAAATTCAAGCTGATCTGCAGACACAGGATGCAACAGTGTCAGCTCGCACTCTCCATCACCATCTGAATTAAAAGGGACGCTATGGTAGGAGACTCAGGAGGACACCACTGCTGACACAAAGGCATAAAAAAGCAAGACAGGAGTATGCCAAAACCTATGTGACAAAACCACAATCCTTCTGGGAGAACGTACTGTGGACAGATGAGACAAGAGTAGAGCTTTTTGGTCAAGGACATCATGGCACTGTTTACAGAAAAAGAAATGGGACATTCAAAGAAAAGAACACAGTCCCTACAGTCAAACATGGTGGAGGATCAAAGATGTTTTGGGGTTGCTTTTCTGCTTCTGGCACTGGATGCCTTGACTGTGTGAACGGTATCATGAAATCCGATGATAACCAAAGAATTTTGGGGCACAAAAGGTCATGGGTCTTCCAGCAGGACAATGAACTGAAAGACACTTCAAAAAGCACTCAGAAATGGTTACAAAGTGCTGG